ATCCAGAGCCTTATGCCTGGTAGGCAAGAATGGTAGCACTGGGATGTGTTCCTATGCAGCCCCCCCACCCCTTTTTGAGAAAAAGTCTGGTTAAGTTGCTGAGTGAGGCTGCCCTTGAACTTGTGATTATTGGACCTCAGCCTCACAAGTAGCAGGGATTACAGGTAGACACCACTGTGCCCTCCTCATGTGTTATAATTTTATAGAGTTAAATATTCCCATCTCTTCGTATCTAATGATGTGCTTCAGTGCTCGATCCTCAGGAAAAAATTAGATCTTGGGAGTTCATTTCTTAGGGTTCAGACAGTTAAATCAGATGTTTGGATGACAGAGCCAGCATAAAAGTGTTGAGAGGCTTCCAGGGCCTGTGGGAAAGGAGCCTTTCCCCTTATAAAAAAAGAACCAGGGCATTGGTCATATGCAGCATGTTAAGTGGTTGTAGAGAGATGGTTTTGTGTCAAGCACTTGGTAGAATTATCCTTGATTCAGTCACCCACCAAGTATAGGTGTAGGTATAGTCTCCAAAGGGAAAATACTTCACTAGCAAAATATGCTCCTCAAACACTTCCATCATCCATCCCTACCAACCTATCTCCATCTCTTTCTTAAACGTGTTCCAAATTCTACTTAATGGGTGTTAATAGAAGGATTGATGTGTTCTATTTTAAAAGATCAACATGATGACTTCACAGTGGAAGTTAACACCTGCCTCTTCAAATTATAAATGGTTCATAAAAAAACAGATACAAATATGCAAAAAGTATGAAACTATTAAATAGCTTGTTGTCTCAGGAAAATGAAAATTGATAATAATCAACTAAAGTGAGTGAAGGATGTTGACAGAATGTTTGGCATAGGTTAAATATGAGACTGGAGTAAGTCCTAGGGAATCCCCCCCACTTTTTTTTCAAGCAAGTCTTAGGAATTCCTGTCTTGCAGGAATTGTATATGGTGCTTGGGATTTCATGCATATTTGCTGTTTGTATCAATAGTACCCACTATTTTTATTAACAGAAGGGGCCAGACTATCTCATGGATCTGTAAGGAGGGTAGACTTTACCCTTTTGAGAATGTACAGTGATATGCCAAATTTGGATTTTTGATAGTTCACTGGAATGTGGAGTGTGGGCAGAGTTGTTCAGAGACTCTTTTATCAGTAATCCAGGCAAGAGATATAGTGAGGCTGTGAACCACAGCAAAGCTAGTGTGGATGGGGTATTAGTCGGGTTTTCATTATGTTCAGATGCCCCTCAAGGGCCTCATGTGGTCATAGTCAGGCTTTTGAAAGAGGATGATTAGACCATGAGGACGCTATAGCTCAGGGTGCTGTTAGGAAGTGGGGCCTGGTTGGAAAAGCCAGGTCCCCAGGAGTATGACCTCTTAGGGTGTATTTCACTCCCTGATTCCTGCCTTCCTACTCCGCTTCCTGGCTTCCATGACAGGAGCAGCTCACCTCTCTACCATTCCCTCTTCCATGCTGTTTCTTGGCAGCTAGGTGACCTGGGAGTGAAATGTGAGCCAAAATAAACCGCTCCTCTGTCAAATTGCCTGTATCCCAGTGAAGAGTAAAGTGAAAAGGACAGCCATGGTAACACAGTACCACAGACTGTGTGGCCTAAACCGTAGGAATTTATTTCTCACAGTTCTGGAGGCAGGCTAGCCAAGTGGGTTCTTGGTGAGAGCCTTCCTCTCTCGGGGCATGCAGAGGGGGCTGCCTTCTTCTTGGTGGCTTTCCACAGCAGTGGGGTAGGGAGGGAAAGAGGGAGCTGTCGCTGGTGTCTCAGAGGGAGCTAATTTTGTCTGTCAGGGTTCTAGCCTTACAGCCTCATTTAACCTTAATTCCTTCCCAGAACCCTGCTCCAAATACAGTCTGTCACTGAGGCTTCAGCACACGAATGGGGGTGGGGCACAGTTCGGTCCATAGCAAGGAATAAAATCAGTAGCTTGCTAGTTTCGTTTGAATGTGGCAGCTTTATGTGTGGGCTTGGGAATCCCCTCAGGTCATGGATTGGGGTGACTAGGTGGGTTTTGGTATCTGGAGGTTTCTTGATGGGTGTTTTGTGGAAATTGGTTTTATTCCAATAAAATTTTTGTGAAAGTAAGAAAGACTATGACTTTTTATAATTTAATCTATCCAAAAGGAAAGTGCTTCTAATCCTCTTAAATTAGTGACCAGTTGATCATGTTTATCACTGCTGAAATAAATTATATATCCACTCATTTTACTATTTGAAATAGTAATTTCCGTTTTATGACATGCCAAAAAAAAAGACAACACAAAATAAGGTGGTTTAAATTTGATGTTGAGGTTAACTTTTTGTTTTTTATTAACATTTTAATATCTTAGGTGTGAAACAGAAGTACCTTACTGACGTTACTAATAGACATTTTCAGCCTTTTCAGTCCTTTGTATTTTTACATTTATTGCAGTAAGATCTGGGTAAGGTACATGTGAGCTTTTCAATGTTTGCTGGTATTTTTAAATAACTAAAACAATAGCCGATGAACAAGAGGCATGTAACACTTGAAGAGTCCCAGTTGTGCCTTGTGGAGAGCTTTTTAATGTGATTTCCAGAAGCATCAAAGCTTGCTCAGACATGTTTACCCTGTTTATCTTATTTTATACATGTTCTATACTTTTCTCTTTTTCTTAAATTTTTATTTTTGTTAGTACATGTTTGCAGTACATAATTATAATCATCATAGGGAGTTGATACATGTACATAACACATCTTAATTTTTTTTATGTTCTTTTTCTCGCCCCTCCCTTTCCCTTTCTTCTTGTTCCCCTTCCATTTACAAAAGATCTGTCTCTTTCCTTTTATCTGTCTTTTATTTTGCTTTTTAATTTTTTTTTTACTTGGGGTTTCTCATATAAGAAGAACCATGTGATATTTAAACTTGTGTGGTTAAATATGGTCTTTTTATTGAAGCATGATATATAGAAATTTACAGATACAAATTTTCATAAACTGAACACCACCATATAACCAGCCCTGAGATAAATGGACTCTGTTTTAAAATCTGGTTATATTGTTTGGGGTAAAAAAGAACCTACTTGAATCTGAGACAATGAGGGGACTCCTTGGGGAAAAATGGTAGATGCACTCCTTAAGCCTGGACTCAGGGCCTGTTGAAGGTATGATATGTTTTCCCTCTCCTTACCTCAGTCTGCCAAACAAAGGCACAGTGTGTGTTTCTTGACCCCCACCCATGTATTCTCTTGGCAGCTACAATGTCCCATTCTTATCACAAGTTGGGAATATTTATGCACCATGGGGATGCCTGCCAGTAGAAGGGGATCTCTGTAACAGTTCCTGGGATAACTTGACTATACCCATTGCTCAAGGCCAGGATGTTTGAATGGCAAAGAAGACATCTTTTGAAACTGCTGGGAACAGATGAAATACTCCCAGACCTTAGACTACTCCTGCAGGAATAAAAAAGTTGCCCCTTTGTTAACTGGCCGGCATGATTTTTTTTTTTTTTTTTTTTT